TTTCTGCTTCAGATTCTGATAAGTCTTCTCGTACTGAAAATATTATAATTCTATATCTTTACTCTTTATGAGTTACACACTGTTTCTTAATTTTCTTAATTTATGATAGCTAATTTTAGCGATTTCTGCTGCTTAATTTCAGATTTTTATCAGCGTTAATGCTAATTTAGAAATTACAATTTATTTATAATCAGAGAGGTTAAATAACTTGATAGTCCTCTTGAAAAATGTGACCCTACAAATCGAAAGCGTTTTTATAATCAATGATAGAGAGACATAATTTGAGTTATTTAAAAACTAAAATGAAAACACTGCAAGGAATTGAAAAAATTACTAAGCAAAACAAAGTTAGCTAACGCATCTGCACTGTTAATTGCGTGGAAAGTAAGATTTCACTTAGAAAGTGATAAAAGAAGCATCGCAAAATGGTTAGAAAACCATTTTGTACGTATAAATTCAATTGAAGAAAGTGAAAGGACTAAAAAATACTGACGAAGTCAATATTTCATATATATAACATACTTGAGAAAAAGATGGAAAATGTTGAAATGAAATCAGTTAAATCCAATTTGCACATTTTCAGTAAATTGAATGTCTGTTATTAAACAGTCAGAGTAACTATAATCAATCATTTAGTCCTAATTAACATGGATGAGTTATCACGTACGAATAATGAAAATTTATGGCCAATGTTCACCAAGATCAAATGATTCGTCTTCGCCCTTAAGGAATGATTGAGAATCCAAGCAAGTTTTATTTTAATTAACCAATCATCTACGTTGATTTGCTTTTCGGCTTGCTTATTTTCAAAGATAGAAATTTGAATAGATAAACAAGCCTGAAAGTAAATCAAAGGAAATGATTAGTTGATTGATGAATATGAATTTTCGTCAGTTGCAAGGAAAACTGAATTTATTGCGATGTGTTACTAAATGAATACGCAGACACTTTGTTGTTTATTTTACCGAATTATCTTTGACTGTTTTAATGAGACCAATTAGAGTACAATTTTCGAAACACTAAATTCGATTACAATTTTTTAATTTTTCTTTCATTTTCATTGTATTATTTGAAACCAATTTAATTTTATCTTTGAGTAAAATGGATCAAAAATAATGAAAAATATGCAATTTTAGGAAAGCAGACTTGCATAAGTTTCCATTTGTGCAAAGATGGATTGCAATCTCAAGATGTGTAGCATAGGTGATGCAAGCATATCCCTGAATTGCACCTGTTCATTCTGATCACCTGAAATGCACTTACAAGCCTCCAAAGCTATAAGAGGCTTTTCAGGTGAAAAGTTAGAGAGTTTTGTCTTACTTCCTCATTCTTTTCTTAACTTTCTACATGAAGACAAAACTCAGTGATTATTATTGCATGGTGATGAGCAAACAAAGACTCAAAAAGCTAGAGCAAGCTGTGCAAAAGCTAGATGGACATGAGATGCTGTAATTACTGAGCAATTATATTAAGCAGAAACTATCGTAAGTCTAAAATTTGCAATCAAACTTGAATAAATAATTCAAATAAGTATTAAAACAGAAATGAAAGAAAAATAATTTCAATAGACAAGCGCTGAATTAATAAGTAAAATAAATTTCTGCACACTACTGCTATGCAGAAGTTACAGAATCCAAAAAGTTATCAGCAAAATTTAAACTTGGAGGCATTACTGACCTTTGTGAGACTACAGACTTCCAAAAGAATAATCCACAACATAATAATTTCAAAATCTCTATTAAATTTCAACTCTCTGTTCACGACTAAAAATTTCAACTAAACATTTGGATGAGCAGAAATATTTTGCATAAAAATTTGTTCAGCTCCACTAACTTTTGTTACTGATCGAGGTATTTTATGAAAGATTTTTAGTTGTTTTTAAAGCAGTTTTCAAATCGCTTTTACCATTTTCATATTATGGTTCTAAAAAAATGTAACTTTTTTAGTTTCAAATTAATTGCCAGCTCAATTCCCTGAAAATCTACAAAGTCCGAAAGATATTGTTTAGTATTATATTTTGCAGTATCTGTTCAGGAACCAACCAAGAATCCCGATTTTCTGGCCAAGCCATCTTGCTTTCTGTACTACGTCATCCTGCATGAGTTTGAAGCACATGGCGATCAAAGCCATGCCAAATAATAAATATAACGCACAAACGATTAGTTTTTCTTGTGATCCTTCCCCAAGGCTTTGACCGGGAACGATGTCCCCAAAACCAATTGTACTAAAGTATTGAATTTTGAGTTAAACAAACAGAAAGTTATGCAAGAAAAAATTATGAAAAAATCGTGGTAAAAGTAATAATGATTGCACTTGCTCTTGTCATGGGATATTGGTTTCTGAATCATTTTAAAAAAAATTGGCGTTACTAATTAGTTTCTTTTGAAAATGCTTAAAAAATCGAAAAACAAATCACTAATGTTTAAAATAATTCACTCAAGGTTGCTAATCATTACTTAATATCATGTCAGCTTGAGACTGCACCAATAAATTTACCTTAACGTGATGAATGAATAATATGCACCGTCAAATAGATTCCAATCTTCCCAAACAGCAAAAAGTATGGCACCGCCAGCAATGAAAAGAATCACTGTGATGATTCCAACAGATACTGGCATTTTCTCGCGTTTGTACGTGAAACCTGTACGCCTCACTGACGGTAATGACATTTCATCAGAGCGTTCGCTCCCTGCACTTCGGAATGAACGACTATCCAGCATTTCTTGTCGGTTTCCAAAAATGAGAAAATTAAGTTTTTCGAGTTTCTTAATTTGTTTCATATTTAAAAAACCTTTTTCAAATGCGCTTCCTCTAAATTCATAATTTAAAGATTTTGCACTAGGACTAAACTTTGGTCCCAAAAATATTTTTACCCGTGGGAAAAAATATTATGAGACCTCGTTATAGTTCAGTAAGTTGTGCTCTATCTATGGCAATTTAAATCAAGGAAACCCATATTATTCTATTGTTTAAGTTATGTTTATTATTTCATTTGGTAAAATGATTCATTTCAATTAACTGCGAAGGACTTTTTCAATTATTTATTGAGAAATGTAATTTATTTCCTGCAGTATTCAGGACAATCCAAGAGTTAAGCTTGCTCTTGCCAGTAGTGCAGTACACATACCTCTTCGACAGAATATTACTGTCCAACGAGGGAGGCTTGTTCAGACTTGAAACTCGCTCTAATATCACATTTGCGGCTCGTTGCTGGCTAGAGTACGCTGTTCTCTCGCTTTCTAAAAATTTGCGCGAGCAAACACAAGAATTCTAGCAGTTTTTCATGAAGAAATTTATAAAAGTTTTAAAGCAATCCAAAATTTAATTTTTTTTGCAGTTTACTTGAACTATCATAGTGCGACATCAAAGTAAGTATGTTTCAAATCACTATACGTTCAAAGAATCTATGCAACTTTCTACTAGAAACAAAAACAAATTATAAAATTACATGCATTGAAAATAGGAATTAGTTACTAAAAATGACTACTTTCCAGAATTTTTTCTGGCTGGGTTGTTGGGATAGAAATAGTCGCTGTTGATTCAACAGCTTCAGAATTGATTATCTGTAATAATTTTCAACCTTTAATTTGATAACTGCTTAAATTTCTAAGCGATCACTTGATTAAATTTTTTTAAATAAGTTTAAAATAGAAATGCAAAATACAATTTGGAAATTCAGTATTGATGTAAATTAAACTTTAACCCGTAATATTTAAGAGCGCATTTTTTTTTCCTGCCAAGCTGTATTTCATAAAAAATATGAGGATGAATTTGATTTTCAATTTTTATTGATTTCCTCGAAGTTAAAATTGTTTTAGACATGTAACAAATAAAAGATCCTCAAGCACGAAAACAAATTAGTACTCAAAAAAGGTAATGCTTCATTTGCTCCGTACAATCAAAAGTAGAACCTGAATACTTGTTTCATCCTTTTTTTTATCAAAGTCACTGAAATTCATTTGAAGAAAGTACGTGTCATTCCCTTTCTGATTGCTATTACTGGCACGCGCGCTGAATAAATATAAATTTGAATAAAAATAAACCTGCAAAAACTAAATACTATAAATACCAAACATTTTTTGGACGTTCAAAGATGAAATCGATCTAATCAATAATTAATGATGCATTAAATAGTTTTTTTATTTTTGCGCAATAATATTCATGGTATAATTTTACTTAAAAAGCAAACAATTTTTTGATTTAAATCAAAAAATGTAAGTCATTTGAAACCATCATCTTGATATGAAAATTGTAATGAAACATAAACTCCAAAATTGTAGAAATGAAGCTAGAGGTTAAAAGTGCTACTTGAAATTGTTTATTTACATTGTAAATTGCACGACAGAATACTGTTTTCAACAATATTTTCTGGTTTATTATTGAGACGTACAGAACGCCGCTTTTTGTAGGAAAACGTAAAACGTAATAGTCAATACCTCAGAGTCAACCGAGATTTCGCGGTAGGCAGATCGTTTTCCTTTTCTTCTTTAACTCTTGCTTTTGCTCTGAAATTAATAGAAACTTGAGTTTTTCTCCAAAAATAGATGAAGTATTTTATAATAAAACAATTCAAACATTTGTTGGGCAGCAAAGACCATGAATTCCCTTTCGACATCAAAATTGGGAGTTATAACAAAATTACAAAGTTGCTTACTTTAGAATCTAGCCATTCATTAGAGCAAAGCAAATATGAATGTTTTGTTTGCATGCATTCAATTATGGCATGAAGGAATTCATGCGTTTAATCTAATAGTTCTTGAAGAATAATCAATATATAAATCAAGTTCTTTAGTATTTTTAGCTCTTCTGAATAGATTCAGATAAAGCAAGAAATATCTAATTAAGTAGAAAAGTTCATTATCCCACATGAAATACGAATGAATAGCTTATTTTTTAGTGAAACAAAGTTGTGATTTCAAAGTAAACTTCGAAAGAAAACCTGAGCTGAGGAACAGAAATATGTCCAGTCACATTTGGATGCAAACCAGCAGATGTTACGACTGCACCAACATTGTAACTTTTGAATTCAATGAAAGCACCTTTTGATTCACCATCATTTTGATACCGAACCGGTATTCCCCCTGGTGTAAGCAAAAAATTCTTTAATTTAAATCTAATACAAAGCAGTTCTCAATTTCGAAAATATTTAATCGCTCATTAATTTAACATGATGTTTAATTTGTAATAATCACTATTTCAACAAAGTTGTCAAATTAAAATTTGACGAAATATTTAAATCTGAGAATGCATAAGTTCCATTAAAAAAGCACCAAGTTTTTTGCAGTCCAATAGAATGAACGGAAGAATATTGTGGATATTTTGAAATGATTTTATTTTTTAAATTATTTTATAAGAACCAGAGAAGTTCATACGAGCGCAAAATATCAAAATTTTTCATTGAAAAATTGATAATAGACTCTTTTTGCTATCCAGTGATTGTTGTATTCTAAGTACATGATTGAGTAAAATCTCCTATGCATTCTGAAGTAATTTTACAAACTACTCCTGATCTCCAATAAAAATGATTGATTTACAGATTTATTGCTGATGTATTATTATGATTACTATGCGCAATACCTTTAGAATAAATGTATGATTGTTCATTCGCTGATTTGCTTGGAGACAAGCGACAACAGCTACGTTTTCGTTTCAGATTAGTTATACTTTGTGGAGAAGAACAATATGATGCAACATCATTTGATCGGATGCGATTAACCGTTCCAGTCGATTCTCTTGCAGGCCTGTCACTGCCATATTTCAATTCAAATATGAATTTGCAGTATGTCAGTTAACTTTTTTCCAACATATATATGTCAAATTTTTCATTTTTTTTTTCTTATCTTTCACTGCAAAAAATATATAAAAACTAAAGTGATCCTCAGAGGAGTAAATCTCCCGACAAAATCGAAGAAAAATTTCACTGCTTTGAGACTTTTAAACTTTTTCATCGAAAGAGTTGCATAAATATGTACTTCTGTATACTATCATATGGCGAACGAATATTTAAAGCTGCAAGATTTCGACGTCCTGGAAGAGAAGCCGTATCAAATTTATCATGGCGGTTAGTTAAACTTCGTGAACTACGGATGCTTTTGGTATCACTCCAAGTACCTTTCCTACGTGTCATATGTAGTCGCGTCAAACTTCCATGGCGTCGCACTCCACTATGACGTTGGTTATAACGTCCTGTTGGGCCTAAATGTAATATATTGACAAGTATAATATCCTTGCTCACAGTCAATAAAGCCACATATTTCTTTTAGCTAGCAGACATCTTTTCCGACTGTTAATGTTTTATTCTCGCAAAAATAAACAACAAAATAATTGTCAATCCAGAGTTTCAGTTTTTGATTAATGGACAGTAGTATCATTTGATGACTAAAGTTTGTTAATTATATTAATAGCTTCGAGACTGATGTGATCTAACATATAGTATCATTAGATGGAGCAAAAAAACTAGAAATCGATTAGCTTCTTCAGAAAATATAAGAATGGATTTTGTAACCTCGTCGAACATTCATTGGCGCATTGGGATGATATCGAAAGCTGAGCGCTGAACGACGAACACGCCGACGATTCTGTTGCCATCTACAGTATGCACAGCACATTTTGAAATATACAAATGTAAATACCTATAAAAAAGTTAAGCAAAATGTAAAGTATATTAACTAAATTAAAAACTACAGTAGCGATGAATATACCTAACCACCAATATGAGCTAACAACACGGGTATGTTAAGTAAAAAGTTGTTATTTTCACCACTTCACTAAATGGCATAAATCTAATGTTTTATTAAAAAAATTAACAATAATTCCAGGTGAAAATGTGTTAAGATATTCCACAGTAATTCATTCACCTGAGCAAGACTTTCAGCAATATTTGCCAAACACAATAACATTAGAGGTATACCAATCATTGCGTACATTATCGTCATACCACGGCCCAAAGGTGTTTTTGGACAGATATGACCATATCCTGAAGATTTTCCGAAGCATGCTAATTTAGTTTGAAACAAATTCGAATTTGCACATTTTGCTCTGATTCGTTAAAAAAGTGTGTATTTTCAAAATAGAACAAAAATCACTTCATATTTTATAGCAGTTTATAAACTCCAAATTTTACACCCGAGACCCTATTTTATATTGAGCAAGGGTCATTGCACAACAGTGAAATAATAATATCGTTTTTTTTAACACATTTTATTATTTGGTGTGTAATCAGTGGAAATCATTCTGCTATGCAAAATAGCGTGTATTTTGCATTAAAGCAAAGCTTTGTATTGTGCATCCTGAAATTTATCTGAAAATTGAAATAAAAATTAAAAATTCTAATTTAGTTCATTATCTGAATGTCTGTGCTGAAAATGACAAAACCCAGTCAAGACTAGAAAAATAAAGCTTATTGATATTTAGTGACTAGTATATAAACTACTCAAAATTTTCATTAATTCAAAGGAGAAATTATAGCTTGCCTATAGTAGTGAAAACAGTAATTGAAAAAAGTAAAGCACCAGAAAACGTCCACTGGCATTTCGGTGTAATCATATCTTTGTCGTCAAAACCTAAATATTTTATAGAGTAATTTCAACAGTAATTACATTGTTATTGCGGTCTTCCTACTTGCTATTCAAATCAATTTACTGACATTTTTGGTAATATAATGAATAGTTGCAAAATTTAACGAAAACCTTCGAAATTCACAGCATTGACAAGTTGGAGCTCGAAAACTTTGAGCAATTGATGTGCTTTGTTTTTTACTTCTGCTTCTTCAATCACATCACTTGAATCAATGAACCTATACAGTCCATTTACGACCTGTTAAAATATTATTCTGTAAAAACAATATTTCGGAGGTTAAATCATAATGTCTTGTAAATTTGATTGAAAACAAAGTAAAAATTAAGGTTGTATATGAACTAACTTGTCTGAGAAATAGTTGGACTAAAGTAAACTGGAGAAGATGGTAAGTTTGCCATCTATTATACGCATCTTTATTAGCTTACTCAATACAAAAGTTTGCACTGACAAGTTGTGGAATGAAATAGAAAGGAACGACAAAAAATATTTATTTTTATCAACTTTTAGCCGAAAAATATATTTTTTCAGATTTCTGGTTAGCACCATATGTACTATTTGCATTTCCCAATTCATTCGTGGAATGAATTTTCAACCAAATTAATAAAATTTGTCCAAGCAGATGATTGAACATGGCAAGCTTTCTTCGGTATCTGGATAGAGGAATAGATTTAAATAAATAAGATGAAGAATATTCAAATGTTTTGTCTTCTAGGTGCAACTTTTAAGGTTATAATTTTTGGATTAAAATTTGCTCATAAAATTAGAAAGCATATGCAGTAATTTTGCTCACTCTGTCAAAATCTGCTAATTAAAAAGTCCTTTAGTTTTCTGCAATTGTTTTAGTATATTTAATCAACGAGCAGATAATTTGCATGTTTCTCACCGAAGTCTGGTTTGCATAATTCTTATTGATGTGCTTTGTTTTTTTTACTTCTGAAAAATAAAAAAAATTTTCATTTTTTTATATTTCTGCAGAAGGGATTTAGACAAAAAAGTATTCGAGAGAGAATTTTGCCAGCAGATGAGAATGCATCATTCAAATACAAACAATGGATTAGCGCTGGCTTCATCCTCATACTAGCTTGTGCATCTTTTCATCGTACTAAAGAATGAAATCTTCTTTAGACAGATAAGTAAGGAAATGAATTCTATAAAGCAATAGCCTCAGCTGATGACTATCCGTGAATTCTTTGAAGCAATATTTTGAGTAAATATTCAACAAAGAAATGATTTTTCTATATAAATTGTGAAATTGCAAAAACTGTTTAATTATCTGCTATTAAAATATTGATGATTGGTACCAAATGCAAGACTAATCACAATAATTCATGTGCATAAATTCATGACAGAATTGATTAGTAAAATTGCTTTCTGAAACATGAAAAAGCAATACTGATGAATACTTTGGCCATAATGATGTTTTTGAAATTACAAGTCAAATGCTAGTCTATATGCTGATTATGTGATAAATCCAAATTAAAATTGGCTAAAAATTCTCAAAAGCATACCGCCCAAGTATCATTTGCTATATGACCTTGAAATTTCAACTCTTCGGGATATTCCAATTTTCGGAACATAAACGCTCCCAAAACCGCATAAACAGCAACTAATGCACACAAACCAACATGCGAAATTATAAAGCCAAAAAACTGAAACTCATGTGGAAGCGTAAAGTTCACAAATAATTACAATAATTTACTTTCTAATTTTAATTAATTGAATCTTTTAGAGAGTGTTATGTAAAATCAGTACTTTCTATAGACAGCAATGGAACCCCTTTTAACGGAGAATTAATAATTTTCCGATGAATAAATTGAAAAGTCTCAAACGATACAATTGTTATGCGAATTTCGATCACCTCTCATTATTAAAAATTGCTTTCATAAGTGTTATTAAGATACTTTGTGAGTAATCTCATTGTTGCGAATCAGAAAATCGAAAATACGTACAAATGAGATAAATAGCAACAATATGAAAAAATTCATTAAACTTGTTGCAATCAGGTAATCAAAACTGAAAAAAATTTCAAAAATAAGGCAAAAATTGATACCTTCTTAAGGAAATTAGTTGTTCGCAAGCTGCATGATCTAATTTCGTCACGCATTTCTAGTGGAAGCGCAAATACCTGCACTCCAAAAGAAAGCGACGTGCAGTTGTACTCAAGTTTTGACACAAACGTTTGCTAAATATTTATACTAAATATTCGCAAAAGTAGACGTGCATAGAAGAGGTTAACAGTGAATTTAGAATTAGAAATATACGTAAATCTCATAAATAATATGCAAAAAGAATTTATTAATTTTTGCGTGATACTCCCTAATATGCGAAGTAAGTGATGGAAAGAAACAAAAGTGACAAAGATTGCTGCTAGCCTCATTTTTCTCTGTTATCATCGCTGTCTGTCTTTTGGATCTAAACATAGGCAAAAAGTGGCATACGCATTATTAGTAAGTTAGAACTAGGCCTTTTTGGCAGAGACAAGGAAGATTAGGCCTAGCTGTTAGTCTCATCGTGTACCAGGTTTGACTGAGCTATAACCCGTCTTCTTTGCATCTGCCGAACAATCTTTCAAGAGCAAATTTTATTGCCAAACTTTACATCGTCCTATTCCATACTAGCTTAGAGACTCATATCTTAGTTGGTAACATCTGCCAGGCCTAAGTTTACCCTCTCACTTCAATTCAAAATGGAAAAGAATGTAACATAAAGAAGGATGTTATGTAGTCTGACAAATCTATGCAGGACGTTTCACTTCAATATTTGATAACCTTGTCCTTCTCAGCAAACAATGTAGCTAAAATGAGTATTTAAAAGAAAGCGTCTATCTGAAACTTCAATTATCTTAGCAATTTGCCTTCCTCAAATTCCAAATCGTTGCTGTAAAATTTGTCCAATCCATTCCAAAAGTACCCCATCTCGCATTTTCGAATCTCAACATTTTCATATGTTACGGAAGTAAACAACAATTAGCTAAAGTAAATAGGTTTCCATGCATCAGATTGATTAGCCATCCATTTTTCATGCTTATCATTATAATTATATACACTTGTGATTGTCTCTGATTGACTGACTTATTGATTTACTGATTACTTATCTGTTTTACTTATCATAATTATGAGCCGAGCCGAGATCTCTCTTAAATATAGTCTTCAAGGAGTAATTTGTGTTTGCGGTGTAAACAATCCTTAGTGTAGCTTTATTAAATATATATACCAAAATGCTAAAAACAGTAACTGCTTCAATGTTTTAAAAAATTACCTTTGCATTTGTTTTTACAATATTTATCAAAATTAGTTCATAAAAACAAACAGTTTTGTTCAAAAATAGTACCTAATGAATTTTGCTGAAATCCTCAAGATCTTTATATGAACGATTATATTTAAATCAAAATTTTAAATTATATTTGTCATTCATAAATTGACGCATATTCTTAAATAATAGTGATAGCAATTGATTGGATGATATATTTCAAAACAGTCATTAATTATCTAAAGAAACAAGTCCATCAATGAGTATTAGGTGAATTGAAAGAACTTATGAATTTGAAGCTTATTTGTGTAGAAAAAAACCTTAAAATCATCAACAACAAAAAAAGAAACAAAAAGACAGCCTTTTCAGGTCAATAGTAAAAATATTTTTCTACACAAATAAAGAATTCAGAATCAATAAACTTCATGCATTATGAAGAGAATTACAATTTTACAAACATTGTAAAACGCAAAAAAATTTGTCAGAAAACATTATTGCAGTTTTATTCGTGTAAAATGCTCAAAATAAATCACTAGTTTCGCAGCATTGATTTGACTGTAAAATAAGGAATGTGTAAAAATAGTAGCAAATTAATGTTGAGGGTATCAAGAAGCAGGCAGATATTACTTTGGTGAAAATGGTAGAATAATCATAATATGAAATCAAGGAGCATAAAAGTAATTACCTGCAGTAATCTTTGACATCGGTGCATCGCAATTTGCATCGCTCATCGCAAAATGAGCATTCACTATCGCAAGGATGAAATTGCCAGATAAATATGTAAAGTGATATATCCCAACGGAAGCTATGCAATCAACATTGCTGAAAATTCTTGAAAATAATAATAACAATAATAATATTAATATTAATATTATTATTAATAACTGTTTTTATTTTTGTTATTACTATTAGTTTATTATATTGACAATAATAGCACATTATTATCGTTGATTCTTTTTTACTTGTATTAAAAAAACAAATTTACGCTATTTGAAAAGTCAAAGATGTTAGAAATTGTACTAAAATTATGTTTCAAATGAAGAAATGTGAATTTTTAAAACTCAGATACTTTAATATGCTATTTTACTCAATTTAGAAACCAAGAACATCCTTTATGCTGGCTACGATTCGCATACTGATAAGCAAATCATGCATCATATTAGAATTCAAAAATAGTTCATGAAAAGACTTATCAGAAATAAATATAACCTTGACAGTTGCAAATAACAAACATGAGGCGTCATACAACGCGATACTTTCAGTTTGAAATGCTCCTTATTAATTTCGATTACGCACTCATCAAATTTTTTCAACGTTTCCGTGAAAGAATGATGAAAATACTGCGATGAAATTTTCTGAAGCGTTGTTTGAAGACGTTTTTCGAAATTTCTACAAATTTCATTTGATTATTTTGAAAAATGTCAGTTGATTTTGGGATAAATGATTGTTTTCACAGAAAATTAATTTGGCATTGATTTTAGAAGAGCTGGAATTTCTATTTAAAAACTGAGATGATGCATCCCTATAATATTATAAATTTTTGCAATTATTCAGCATTACTTTACTTTTTCATCAAATTTGTTCAGATGTCACTTAAAAACATTGCAAATACATAAATGCTTGAAGTCTGATTCCAGTCCCTTAAACTACCAAGTTCTAGTTATGACTTATTGTGACGTAATAAGTAATGGAATAATTTCATATGTTACATAATTTTGTGACATGAAAAGTTCATCTTCCTATAAAAACTAAAGTAAAAGAGAAATGTCTAGCCTGTTTAAGAGCTGTACCAAATTTTTCATATTTATATTCCTTCCTGTTGAAAGTTCGCGGAAGGAATGACGCATGTGGTAGAAATGTGCTTGATGACATGGAACTCTTACCTGAGAAATTTTCATCTTTATTTGTTCCAAAGCATAATGTCTCATTGAAATATAGTTTCTGATATGAAAACAAATTCATGATTGAGTCTCAAAACTACAAAATTCACATCTCTTTTCTTGAATAAAAACTGCTGCGAAGTTGTGAAACTAGGAGTGTACATTTTTAGATATACGAAATTCTACAGCAATGCATACCTGTACATAACCAAAACGATTAATTCCACTTTCATGCATGTTAACTGTATCCACTCGACCTAAAAGATAGAAAGTTCGAGTTTTGTGGTTCTGAGAATTGAAATCGAAGCATTTAAGTCGAAATATTTTTATCAAAAACTATTATAATAATAGTCTAAACTGCCTAACTAGGCCTTGAAGTAATGACACCTTGAGCGATATTTTATTATATGATCATTAAAAATTGCAAGTCCGTAAGCCAGCTTTACAAATTCTTCTGAGACTGTAAAAAATGAATTTGCATGTTTTCATATGAAATCAAAACACATTGAGCGCGTTGTCTGGAGCAAGGTTTAAAGGCCAATTTTCGTTTTCAAATTAACGAATTTCTTTTTTAAAGGTGTATAGTTTTGAAGGTGTTAAAACAAATTTCTGATTGATGAAAAGTGCTACTGAACTTTCAACCTGTACGAAATGTCTAACTCACTTGCATTTACAATAACTCTTGTTTTCATACGCCATAATGTGCATTCTTTTTTCCAAGTTGTATCGTTCAAGAAGTTAAAACGAAAATTTTCTAAAAGTTGTCCTGACTGATTGTCCGGTAGAACAAGTTGTACATCTCGGTGTTCAAACAGAAAAGATCCCGCTTGCGGGTGCTCACGAGAAATATTCTAAAAAATGTTCAGGTAGAAGGAATCTGGGAGAGATCTTAAAGAGACAACAAATGCCTTAGCCAATGTCTTTTGACTTTAATATCAAATGCAAACTTTAAAAATACATTGACGAGAAATTCCCAATGATGAGCCTAAAAATTTTTAAGATATCTGTATGTTATTACTAGTTTTTTCAAATTTTCGTGATTTTATGCACTGCAATTGACAGGGTTTTATTTTCTTTAGATTTCAAAAATAATAATAATAATGGTAATGATAATGATAATGACAATAATAATAATTTGAACTTGAGATCAACAGATCATAATTTCATGAATCATGATTTTTTTCTATTTTTAGAGCCTTTATTTCCGTATTTTTTTTAGTTTTTCGATTTTTTGTTAAGACTTTCAAGATTTTTAGTTTGCAACATGCACTAATCATTAATGTAATCAATAACAATAATAATATATTTAGTTATAATCTTTGAGTTTGTGCAATGATCCAAAATGCCTCCCATCTCGTTCTACTGGAATTAAAATTGTTTTCTTTGCATTTCTCATATTCATACGACTGGTTACTATTTTTTCAAAAGTTTGCTCTTTACATAAAGTAGGGCACTTGATTTACATAAATTTGGAGTCTCAAGATTACCATGGTCTAACCACGTTTGTGCGCTTGTTACTGTTCGTTTCCTAACGTTATTTTTTAGTTTTCTTATCTGTTCTATATCTATTAGCAGTTACATTGTTTTTTGAAGATCCAAACAACTTTAAAACTTGAAAGTTAAGCATTTTACCAAAGAATGACCTGCAAAATTTCAACATTGATATTGGGATGAACATTTAGTGGTTGTTCAGGAATCAGAATATCATCGAAGTCACTGAATGCTACCATCTCTGCCCATGGTTTCGCAAAAAATAAGCAGTTTACATGAGATTCTTCAATACCTCAAAGAACAAATATTAATAAGAATAATAAAAGTAATAAAAATTATAATTAAGAGGTATTACACGATTTAACTTAACTTTTCGATCAAACAAACTCTTGAAACTTGTTAATTTGTGCTTATTATCATTTATATTTCGTAGTAAAAAATTACCTCGTGATAAAACTAAACCATTTGGATTTTTATCGGTTAAAATAGGCCATTTGGGCCAATGTCGCAAGACGACTATATCTGAAAATTTTTACTTGTAAATGGATTTTTCCAAAGAAGCAATTTGCGTGAGCGTGTTATGTGACTTAGTGAAAGGAAGCTTCCTTATAGCCTTCTGAATGCCATGCCATGATGCATCCAATCATATTCTTTTATAATCATTAAAAACGCTACAAAATTAATTTTTTTAATTCTAATTTTCGTTGCTGAAAGTTGCTACTACCTTGAAAACATTGAGACTACTTCATATGTAACACTTTTTACCAAATCAATAAATGTTTCTGTTATATATGCAGAAAATGCCAAATTTTTGAATTTACCGGCTTGTTCGTACTGGTGAAGAATATTAAAGGCTTCCTTTGAAATCGTTTGTATTGGAACGATAATTTTTGTGGCTCCAAGTGCAAGCCAAGTTTCGATACTTAAAAGTAAAATACGCCACTCCATTAACTGATATGCTGGTGCCATGCATACTACCAGTTTATGACGCTTTTTGTCCACTATTTTTTCGACTTCTATTTCAAGTGTTCGGTTCCATGTATTCTCCGTACTAATTCTGTGTTAACCTTGTTGTAACCTTTTAAGTAGCAGTCTTTTCAAGCACAATAATTGAAAGTTTTCTTTAGAGACTTTGACGTAAACACGGACAGTTTTATAATAATTTTAACTGGGAACAAGTAACATGAAAATATAAAGCAAAACCTGGTTTTGTTTATTTTAAAGCAAAAATCAATTTAAGTAAAAAAGTTCAAAAAATAATTGCCTTATGAATTGCGGAAATTGATCTATAACTTGGCATTCAGCAATATGACCAGCCATGGAACAGATGTCATTGGCGAAACGTTTACCTTGATGAATTCTTTGAATATGTGCTTGTGATATCAAAAACTTCCCAGTAGAGGTAGTCGAAAAGCAGTACAACTGATAAGATCGACTGACATCAGCGAGAAATTGAAGTACCTAAAAAGAAGACGCGGTAATATATTACAGAACTCATCAGCAAGTTGCATAATCTGTAGTATCTGTAGTAGTGCATAACTTTTGTATTTAAATTTCAGCTGAATCCAAGTTCTCATTTAAAAGTGATTAATTGACTTATAATTGAATGCTTCATGGTCATCTACAATCAGACTGATCTTGAATGCAAGCTGAGTAAAAATTTAATAACGTGATTAATGCACGAGTAAAAAAACGAACTCCGATTTTGGATATGGCATAGTTTTCAGCAATTAATGAAGTTAATTTTAAAAGTTCAAAAACTGATCAAGTAAAAACTGTAACAGTGCTTTAATGCTACCACGTAATTTCCTGGAACATTTTGTTCAGTGTTAACTCGATGAAAAGCGCCAATGACAATTAGCCTTAATGGATCCCATCGTGATAACAGGACATCTGCCATATTTTTCAATGTCCAAATATTGGTCGTTCGATAGTGCAGTGCAATAGCACAAAATATCCCGGCCAGAACTACACATCCTTTGAAAAATGCATGGGATAGCAGTATGCTGCCACGGATTGATATTTGGATATAATTAGAAGTTAAACGACGAGATATATGCATTTTGGATGATATTCGTCTACCGTTCCAGTTGTTGCATAAATTGATAAGCGTTCTCCTTCTGTATGTATTTAGAAATTGCGGAAAAAGGTAAGCTTTTTTTTGCAATTTTAACTTACCTCTGATTTAAATAAACTTACTTGAACTTAACATGAAGTTACTTTTGTTTGACATGAACTTACCTCTGATTTGAATTTAATTACATTCAATTACCTTTGAGATTTGTCTAGAACTTTGCTCTTTTACATGAATTTTCAATCTCTAAGTTTATCTTTAATTATGAGCAGCAGTAAATTTAGAGAAATTTTTAAAATAAGAATCAAACTTATCACAGATAACACAAAGAAAACGATTATGATTTGCGATAATATGTGCCTGTATCATATTTGTATATTTGAGTTTGAGATAATTGTATAGAAAAGTTTGCCATTCTTGACCACTCTTGAATGCAATCACATGGAAAGAGCATATTTTGTACACTATTCACCGAGATGATTATCAAGAAATATCTTGCGTTTTGATCAAATCATTTTAATTTCTTTAACATTGCCATGGCTGCTATCATTAGATACATAAAAATAACAAGAAATATGCAGATTTACAAATTAAAATATCCGGCATAATTTACTTTATTGCATTAAATCAGTGTTGGACAACTTTTAAATGTGATTCTGGAAGTTAAAATTTCACTTAAATATAATTAAAAGTTAAATCGTAGAGAATACTACAAGAAACCGCTTTTGCAAAAAATCTGAGACAATTATTAGAATACTTCAGCAATAATGAACAACAACAAAGGTGGATATACTAAATTTCAGTTTTTTTTCTTTTTGAGCTGACATTAAATTACACATCAATTAAAAGTCTCTTTTAAGGAATAATTTTCTTATGGAAATAAAACTGTGACGAAAAATCATAATTTTTTAAGAAATAATCTCTTCATAATCAATTTCAAATCGCAAAAATTAATGAACCATAACATAAGCAATTATGAAAACATATTAATAAGTATACACAGTTCATTTCATCATTTACGTTCCCAAATTCACTATGAATTGATTATGCCTACCATTACAAACAATTCTCGATAAAATGTACAAATATTTGAAATCTGTGAGCTTAGTAGAATAATTGTTGCAAACTAACAAACAGTGCATAAATTTATTTACGCCTAAAATTTTATTTGTCATTCATAAATTAACTATGAATTTGATTTATCCGACTATTAGACAATTAATTATATTATTTATTTAATGAACGCAAAACTTAAATAAATGACAGTTGTTTTAATTTATTAATTTCTACATCGGTAAATATACTAGTAAGATAATGTAAAATCTTGACAGATTCAGTTCACTGTTAGGAATTTTCCGTTTTTATTTTATTTTTTTATCACTTCATCATTACTTTTCTACAGCGTACTAAAGAAAGAAAAATTATATTGAGCAATTTTATTTTTCCTTTCGACTGTAACTTTTTTCAAAAATCTATCTGAATTTTGATGTAATGGAAATTTTAAGAAATTTAAATACTTTCAAATTACGCCTCTAATTAAAGGGTCAAAAGGGTTAAAAGCAAGTCTGTTTTAACTAACTCTTTGTCATCAGCTTAGACTTAACAATTATTTAAGGCCAAACTGAAAATTTTACAACTTCTCGATGCTAGCATTGCATTCGCATTATTTTAAAAATTATTAAATTTGGTTTCAGTAGAATAACAAGACGACTGCTCGTAAAATATGCCAATAATTAATTGCCATACTCAAATTTGTTCACATATCTTCTCAATTTATTTTTATTGCGCTTGCTATTACTTCAGTAATTTTAGGTATTAATAAGAAATCATTATTATCTTCAAGTTATGCAAGTAATTTATCTTAATTTTAGTGGCGATATTAATTTCCTAGATATAAATTCTGAATAATTATAGCTTTTGAATACTTTTCTTTCTCTCTCGAACTTCCGTTGAACAATGTTTAGAACGTTTGCTACATTTCTTAGAAAACTGTAAATCTGCTTTCCTGATTGCTCATTGCTTCCGATATCTTTTTCTCCATCTTATTTCAACATTAACAATTTTGTATGATTAGCTAAGTTTCATTTACAAATATTTCATTTTTTCAGATTCACTCATGCAGCGAACTTGTTAGAATTCTAGAAATCACCTTGACTTTGAGCTAAGGGTGTGTGTCATATCCACTGATAACAATTTAAAATTATAGTTATTTTAAATTTATGCAGCAAACAGAAGTTGGAAGTGAGTAGAAATCTGTAAGAATCTTTTAACAGCATCATATTTGTTGGCTAGCAGCCTTAACAGACCAGTCCATTCCTGCTAGACAGCCATTGTGATGACAGCAATTAAAAAGAAGAATACTCTCGAGAGGGCTGCGATGGTTTCAAGTACGTAGCCAAGGAGTTGACACAATCTTCCCCGTCAATATGCCTTCCTCACTCTTCCATTTCTTTTTTAGCTAAACGCTAATAATACATTTTTTGAATTATTTTATTCTCTTCAAAACTTTTTGTTTTGCCGAAATGAGAACAATGTGATTATATCACTTTTCTCAGAACGCTTATTTTGAGTCGAAGACAAACCCTTATATGTTAGGCTACTTTATCTCTAAGGCAAAATTACACTCCATCAAAAAATGACAAAAATTATAAATTGAAAATTTCGCTGACTGCTGGCATTAGCTTATTCTAGCAGTCTAAAAAAATTTTCTTCCAAGTCAAAAGTCAATATTCTATCTTTTTTAAAAGCAGATTCAGTCTCTTGACTATATTTGCTGAAGCAGATTTTGATTTATAGTTTCAAAAATAATATTTTAATATATCCTTCACTTTGTTTCCGTATTGACATTCGTTTATTTAGAGCATGCAAAAAAAAGTGTAGATGAATTCAATACTATAAACATGTAAAAAATTGACTGAAATCAATTCGATCGAGAAAATTACTTATGTAAACAGGCCCTGTTAAGAAAGGAATTAATTAACCTAATACAAATGAAATATGTGCATTGTAAATGAGTAGACAATACGAATTGATTTATGAAATCGATGAAAATTGCTTGCAAAGATAGAGAAAAGGTAAAGGTTTAATTTAGTTGATGATCGCATGTCACTCTCAGATCATATCCGATCAATCAATCATTTTCTATTCAACACTTACTTATTTGATGATAATAGCTTGCCTCGTACGACCTTTCACTTTTGAACTTTCTCGAAAACTTTGTCATATGTGTACAGAAAATAAGAGGAAATGAGATAAATTTGCATAGTCATATTTTTAATAATCTTTTGCAAATTAAAAAAAATATTTTGCTACCGATTTCTTATACTACGTACTACTTACTAGTTTATCCCCACCATAAATTTTACATTTCCATAAAAAACTTTATTTGCACAAAAATAACCATTTTAATCCTGGGAAAAAAGTATAAATTAATTATTTTATTTACTACCATTTAAATGTACTAGTGAATGATTACGAAGTATCATTATAGTGATATAGGCAATAATTTTATTTAAAATATGTTGTCTTGATTATCCACATTAGAAGCTCTAAAATGTTAAAATCCCAAGCTCTGATGTTAGAAGTTCTAATGTTGGAAGCTCCAGAAATCTTTTGAGACGGCGAAAAATTTTGAGCTCATTCACAGTGATTGATATTTGTCATTGCGTTAACGGATCGATTTTTCGTTAGATTAATCATTTTGGAGTGAGTGTGCTCAGAGACAAGCAAGTAAAAGGTTACGCCAACAATGATAATACTACTAATAACAGAGCAATAATAATGCATGTAATGAGGATGACAACGGTTGAGACAAATAGCACTCAAAAAGTGCCTCACTTAACCTTTTCCATTGCTTGCCAAATTTGCAGGGTGCCCTCTTAATGTGTGTCGAATAATACTCACTCACTGAGAATGACGACTGACCTTCTTCCACCTCAGGCTGTTTTTTGCATCATTATTTCTAACAGTGTGGCATCAGTTTTCACCTCACCAAATACATTTAGTTAATCTTTTATAATTTTCAAACATTATTGCTTTGCTGCTAACGAATTTCTCAGTCTTTTTCTCGTAAAGTAAATCTGCTTGTTCCTAAATATTAGTCATTCTAATATGTTATTTTTCAAAATACACTTTTCGATAATCGAAAAGAATTATGGCTTTCCATTTTTGCAAAAGAATTTACTTACGTCTTTGTCATAACTAAGCTAGAATTGTAGAGAGGACTTCAATGTGATTGCATTTTATATTTAATGCAGTTGCAATTATTGAAACAAGTGTGCAGTATTCGCTGCTAACTTCTATTCATGGATTCAATTCAAGAGACACATTTGACTGTTTACTGGCATTAAAAGCAGAATGTTTTTTAAACTGAAAATATGATTGCTTTGCATAAAATGAAATGCTAATTTTCCGACAATTTTCTCCTCACCAAAATGCAAAACATTATTGCTGCTTAAGTTTGTTATGCGATTAATATACGGAAAAAAGAAAAATAGATGCATTACGGGAGGTAGCAAAGTTGCTTATGTTATGTTTTCATAAGCAACAAATTCCTACGCTAAAATGAACTTTCCCAAATTTTCTTCGGCTCAGTTTACTTAGCTCTAATTATAAAAATTTTAATTTATTTCTACTGCGACAGTTTGTCGCAAAAAACTCAAATTCATAGATTTACACAAATAATTTAAAGTGACTTAGTAATGGTTATTTGTCCCTTCCTCATGAATAATTCGCATATAATCATTCACTCTCTCAATTAGCAAAATTAGCAAACGTATTGGTTGCACTCGTATGAATTAGTCTTTAATATCATTTTAATTAAAGAATTTAAGAAACGGTTTCAGGTAACTTCGTTACAGTTTTGATGCTGTTCATAATAGAACAATTTTTTAACTCTATTAAGATTATAATATTGTAATTCATGATGATTAAATCCTGTATGTCACTTTTTCTTATGTAGCATTGTTGCTATTAGTTGATAAGATTTCTATATTGTTTAACGATGAGATTAGTAGGAAAGGTCATTTTACTTTATCTTCTCTTACATTAACCTTTAACCTTGCTATTTGGCAGTTATACACTTGAATATTTCTTTTCGGTGTTTCTCGACCAATCAGTATTAAACAGATAAAGTTTGACTCCAATAACCATAATTTGTTACTAGTTCATCCATTTTCCATTTTTCTACATTACTCATGTGCAGAACATTCATTTTGCAAAAGTCATGCATACTTCAGAAACATTCATAAGATTTTAGTCCATTTTAGACAAAGTAAAAAATTAAATACAGATTAAAGGGGTAAAGTATTCTGCTTATGATAAGAATGTTCTATCTTTTTTCCTTGGACTTTGATTTATTTGCATTTGGT